TGCTAGTAGAAATGTGGAAGAAGATGACCAAAGTAGGTTCAGTTTTGTTTCTGAAGAATTTGGGATGGATGATAATGATTTAGGCGATATTGGATCTGATCCTTATGAGTTTGCCAATGTGATTGGGGATGGAGATCAACCCTTGTACCCTGGTTGCAGTAAGTACACGAAGTTGTCGGCTTTTGTGAAGTTATATAATTTGAAAGCAAAACATGGGATGAGTGATGTTTGTTTTACAGAATTATTAATACTTCAAGGAGATTTGCTTCTAGAAGGAAATACACTACCTTCCTCTATGTACGAGGCAAAAAAGACTTTATTTGCTTTAGGGATGAGTTATGAGAAAATCCACGCATGTCCCAATGACTGCATTTTGTATAGGAAGGAGTATGAGGATTCAACTAATTGTCCTACTTGTGGTATCTCAAGGTGGAAGGAAAGCAAAGATTCAATCTTGAAAGAGGGTGTGCCAGCGAAGGTGGTGTGATATTTTCCTCCAATTCCAAGGTTTAAAAGGATATTTCAATCACATAAGACTGCTAAGAGTTTGACTTGGCATGCTGCATTAAAATCAATTATGTCTCATCCAGCGGATTCCCCGTCTTAGAAACTTGTTGATGATAAATGGCCCGAGTTTGGTAAAGAGCCGAGAAACTTGAGATTGGTTCTCTCATCTGATGGATTCAATCCCCACAATTCTTAAAGTAGCAGATACAGTTGTTGGCCAGTTATCTTAGTTATATATAATCTCCCACCATGGCTATGCATGAAGCGGAAGTTCATGATGCTGACCTTATTGATTTCCGGTCCTAAACAGCCCGGAAATGATATAGACGTCTACTTAGAGCCTTTGATTGATGATTTAAAATCTCTGTGGGATGGGATTAGAGGAGTGTATGATGCACACATAGGAGAATACTTTACACCAAGAGGTGTATTATTGTGGACAATTAAGGATTTTCCTACCTATGGGAACTTATCTGATTGTGTTGTTAAAGAATATAAAGCTTGTCCAATATGCGACGATGATACACCTAGTCACATGTTGAAAATGGCCACAAAATTTGTTACATTGGGCATAGAAAATGGTTACCAATCAATCATCCATATAGGAGGCAACGTGCAGCTTTTAATGGGAAACCTGAATATGGCACGCCTCCCGAGTCATTAATCGGAATAGAAGTGCTGCATATGGTTGAAGATATTAATTACATATGGGCTCAAAAAATGGGGGAAGTGTTGGTGAGAATGATGGTGACAAAGTTTGTTGGAAGATACTAGATTAAAGGTGTAAAATACGACGGTCCAGTTAAAAAATTGGAAAAACAGACGTCTACAATAAAACCAACGTCGTATTTTTACAAACGTCGTGGAAAGCAAATGCAAAAAACCATACAGAAATTAAAATCAACATCTGAAAATGAAAACATGTCGGTTTATTAAAATTAAATCACAAGTGGGTGTAATAAACATCAATGACAGCCTACAAAACAACGCACGACGTATGTTTCACTATAACATGACGTTGCAGTGCTCCAATCGATGAATTTGTAAAACGATACTTCCACAATTAAAATCTACCGTCGTCTAAAGAAGAAATAAAGGCATCTCTGTTCCATTAACTGCCGTGACAGATTTTCTGCACGTCGGTTATTCTAAAACATCTGACGTTTAAGAGAAAACATACGTCAAGGAGGGTAACACAATCGTCTTTTAAAACACCAACCACGTCAATATGTATTAATAACCGCCATGGTAGAGAATTACAATGTCATATAATTGAATCCTCATGACGTAGTACATAATTAACCACGTTCTTTATTTTACAAAAACCGTTGTACAAATATAATCCACGTCGTTTCTTTTCCTGTACATGACATCAATATTATTTGTAACGTCAGTATTTCACAAAAGCAGTCGTGGATAGGACTGTTTACGGCGGTAATCAGTAATAATATGTCATTTTAATTTATTTAGACGTCTGCTTTGTCGGAAAAAGCGACGTCTAAAACTGTCCAAGGGACTTCTTTGTATAATTTAAAAGATGATTCTCGTAAGTGATGGACGTTGAATATATTTAAAAAGGTGTTTTCCTCTATAGTCCGACGTGGATAATCTTATAAGCGTCATTTTTTCCACTAGTATGACGTGGTTAAGACATTTTACGTCGGTTATTCCGTGATTAATGACATGTAATATGATTTAAACAGCTGTTCTTTTGTATATACAACGTTTTTTAATAGTTAAACGTCGGTTTCTTTATTTATTCAACGTAGTATATTTTAACCACGATGGTTTCTAAGTATTCTTTTAATTTGGGACGTGGATAATTATCTGTACGTCTGTGCCTGTGTAATTATTGACATATAATATGATTTAAACGTCCCTTCTTTCGTTTGAGCGTCGTCTTTTATAAGTTAGACGGCAGTTTGTTTATTTATGGTTATACAAGTCGAATTCCTTCAATTATGACGTGGATAGTTATCTGTACATCGGTTTTTATTTTTTTCTGGACATGTAACAATATTTAGACGTCTGAGTTTCAATAAAACCGTCGTCTAATGTTGTCGAAAATTTCATTTTACGATATATCTATAGTAATTAGACATCGGTTTTTAATATGTTGTGACGTTGAATGTTTTAAGTACGTCGGTTATTAGCCGTCGTTGTTTTATATAACAAAAGATGACGGTCGATTTCACGATGGTTTGAAAACCTTCTAGACGACGGTGGATTCCCGTCGTCTATTTCGATTTTTGTAGTAGTGAAAATTTACAAAACACTCATAAACCGACTATTGTACCAACAACACTTTTAACAAAAAGTTTATCAAACACCAAACAGCTTTCTTTCACAATTGACTTATCTCACAACAAATCTGACATTGATTATTTTTATTGCACAGCAATACCAGTATCAGAAGCTAAGTTAGGGAAATACATAAATAGCATTCACGTTGTAGCTTATGCGAAACAAACGTTGTTGTGTTTTTCGTTTCAGTTTAAAACAATTAAAACCTAATGAAGTGTCGAGATAATCACTAAGAAACACCCAAACTCACGAGCTATCCCCATTGAAACAAGCCTCCAGCCCTAACCTCCAAATTTTCCATTGAGTGAATTTCAGAAAATTAGGTCAAAGCATTCTGTTGTTGCACCAATTGAACATTAGGTATTATATTTTCTTTCATTATAATTGCGATTGAGTGACAATTAGTATATTTTGATTGCTTATATTATGTATTATCATTTCTTTCATTATAAAATTAAATTTATATAATATATTTAGTCATACACCCATTCTTAGCTCTATAAACAAACCCAAAAAAAACTCAAAAAAAGATAGCTAGCCCTATTGAATTTAATTTTGATTATTAAATTACTTTGATGCCCTATTGAGTGTTTTGGGTATTTTTATGAGGTTTTGGGGTTGGGCTTATTTTAAGAAATTGATGGCAGTTTTTGTAATTTCTAAGAAGTTAAAAGCCTCTTTGTTATACTATAAATGGGCTTTGGATGTGTTTCTAAAATCCATTTCATATAGGGTTTTTTTTATAATTTGGGTTCCTATATTTGGTATAATAGTGAATCTCCCTATTTATATTCCCCAAAAGTTTACGCGTCAAGTCTTACACAACACTTTATGGACATAAATTGCAACGTCTTACGTGATATAGCGATTTAAAATATAGATCACAACACACAAAACTGGATGTAAGTTTACTTTGAAAGGGGATGGATCTTATGTAGTACAAGATCGTGGTCGATGGTTTAAGAGTCGGCCCCATCAATTGAAAGTTCTTGAAACAATACTACGCATGAAGTGAGTGCAACCTCCTAGCTCGCATGAGCCTAAAGTGCACATGGCAGGGACATCGCCAAGTAAAGTGTCATCAAGCGGGTACGTAGTATCTAGGTCACAATAAAGAGGACCAATACTTTCTTGCTTATGCTTGAAGTTAACTTCATCATCTTCGTTGCTACTAATATTTCATTGCTCAAATTGTGGATTCGTCGATTGAGGGGAACATTATCTTCATCCGAATCTACTACACTTTTTGTTTCTCCTAAATCGTCATGGACTTGAGTTTGAGGAACATCAACTAGAGGTAAGTGGTAGGCGATGAAGGTGGTAGTGGATGTGACGGTGGTGGTGGTCATGGGTGGTGGTGGTGGTGGTGGTGGAGGTGGTGCTGATGAAGTGGAGGTGGTGGTGGTAGACGATGTCATTTTAAAAAATTAATGATGGTATTACGGGAATTGAAAAAATTCCTTAAAAGCTCTTACTTGCTTCTTGTGAAAGTATCTTTGAAAAACAACCTAGAGACTACTTTTTTACTTTTATTTTGAGGACCTTTCCTATTGAGAGGGGCGATAGCATACTAAACTTACACACACTACACGAATGTTAGGACTCGAACCTAGGACCTTGCCTAAGGGAATAAATACTCCAAACCACTGCACTAGTGGGTCCTTTGCACCCAGAGACTACTTTTAAAGGCTACTGTTAGGAGACCATTACTTTTAAATATTCAAGATATTTTATTTTCACCAAACACCTTAAACTGGTTTTTTTTTTTCTTCAAAAGAGAAAATCCATCAATATTCCAAGAACAACGCAGCCTCATTAAAACCTTCCAGGTAAAACCACGTGGGAAACCCTGAGTAGGAAAAAGAGTGCCGCACATGCATACTACAAGCGAGTCAAAGAACATAGACCAAACGATATAACATAGAGCACCACTACAAGCTCAGTAAGAACATCCACCACAATGTAAAATTGTCAAAGGATTTCTATGCACGCATAGTTCTTTGTACAATACTGAAAACGTGTCGTGAGCGTCAAAAACAGCAAGCAAAAGCACCAAACGCTATCTCCCCCAAATCCATACAAAACAAAGCACAACTTCAAGCAATTTACACATTTTAACACTTATTTATTTATTATTTGTAGCGATTTAACACAACATTTTCCTACATTTACAAGAAAAAGAAGTTAAATTTGCAGCATTTAAACGTTATTAAACATATAATAATATAATGACAATCGTTTTTCTCAACAATTTTTTGTATACAAACAAACCACAAACCTGACCTCTAACTACGAAAAGACGACAAAAAAATAAAAATAAAAATAAAAAAACTAACTCCAAATGCAAAGAGGCATAGGGGAAAACAAACCCACACCCGACCATAGAAATGAAAGCCCACACAACACAAGATAACTAGACTTAATTATTCAGACACATAAGCCTTTACATCTTATTTAGATATCTCCTCGACATGCTCCAATGTCATCTTCTTGAGCTCCTCCTCAAACCTCTCCAAACACGTACTTGGCAAGCATATGGGCACCAAAGTTCCAAATTCCTCTTCTTGGTTGTTGTCTCGGACATAGAAGCTGATCATACTGACCGCTCTCGCAAGTCCAGCAAATAATGGTTTTCCCCACCCAACATCAAACTCTCCCAAACCAGTATGTCTATTATCAGAAACTATAAACACATTCCATCCCATTGGAAGCGGAGGCCATCCTCTGATCACGAAAAAATCAGCCAGTGATTGCATGTACTCTTTATCCATCTGAGCTTTGGACTTCCTCACCAACTCCACACCATATCCCAGTGGACTTGCACACAGAAGTTCCACCGTTGAAACGACAGTTGGGATAGCAAACGCATTGCCGTAGAATCCCGAGGGAAGGCAAAGATCATTGAAGCGCTTCCCGCGAGCGTTGACAGCGCAGGAAATGCGAACAGTGTCTTTTGGATTCAGTCTCAGTGAAAGCGTCCGGCATTTCCAGACGCAGGCTGTTATGAGATCAAATGAGGAGCAAGTGGAAAGGTGGGGTGGAAGATGTTTCCTGAGGGCTCTGATCTGCTGTGGACTGAAATAGAAGGATCGTTGGGCCATGTTTGATTGGTCTATTGCTGCAATGAAAGAGCCTTGTGAATCAAGCAATTGGTCATATTCGTAATGCGGACGTGTAATTGTTGGTGGATCTCTGGCATTGAGGAGCTCTCGTGCCCACACTGGAGGGATTGATGGTGAATCTGCTCCTTGGGCCATCTCCCCAATTGCGTTCAAGAATTGAGCCAACCCCACTGCATCACATATTGTGTGGTTTATGCGCAATCCAAAAACGAAGCCTCCACATGTCAGGCGAGTTACCTACATTAATAATTGCAAGTACTTTTGAATTAATTATTACACGTTCCCTATATATATCATTATGTGAAGAAAAAAAATTGTATTTCTGGTTCACAACACATAACTACATAAAAATGCATAATCCATATGTTTGCTAGATATATAAACTCTATATACTTGCTCTCTTTTCTTTTTTCTTTTTTTGTCAAATATATACTTTGCTCATTGTGGGCAAAGTAGTACACTTGTATTAACTGTATATACCTGAAGAAATCCTATATGCTCTCTCCCTCTGTGAGTCTTAAAGGACTCCATAGAGAGGGGAGGAGGAAGAAGCATCGCCGCCCCTCCTCCTCATCTTCTCTTCTTGTCTTTTACTTTTAGGTTAGTGAATAAGTCCACTAGAGCGTTTTGTATAAAAAGCATCTTGTGATGGTTTCTTCTTAACCATGGTTCGATTGAAGTTCCCAATCAGCCCTTTCAGTCTATGTTCTCAATCAAATCTTGCTCCCAAAACTTGCTACCTAATGTCGCTCATGTTCTCTCAATTTAATTCTACATCATCTTTGACGAAGGTTACTGCAAATCACCCAATTGTTTTTTAACAAGGTTGTTGTTTTCGTTTATTCGTTCACTCTTATGCACAGGTAGATCGCTGGAAATTATATTTTCCCCAGATCTGTTATGGATGCAGTGGTGGGTATGACTGCAATAGCGCTTCTTCAGGTGGATGTGGTAGAGTTCATATAGGCTCATGGGTTGTTTTAAGATTTTGTGGGCTTTGTTTGGATTTATGGTTAATTGTGGTGATGTGGACTAGTAGTTTTAGTGTGGCTTTTGTTCGCGTTAGTTTTGCTTAGCACTTGAGTTTGTTGGGATTGGTATTTTATATGTCTTGTTGATGTCTTTGATTGTACCGTTGAAGTTTACCTAATGAAGTTTCTATTTGATTATAAATATAAAAAAACTGTATATATTGTAAATGTATGTTGACCTTAATTAATTTTTATGTTTTTATTCTCATTTTGTCTAATAAATTATCATAAAAACAAAATTAAGAGGGAAGAGTACTACAAATAGATAAAATGATCAGAGTATGAATTCTGTAGGACAATTGAGGGTACATTCTTGTGTCAAATTGTTAAGGAGAAGGTTCTGACTCAAAATTGATGACAGCCTTCAAGGGTTGGAAAGACAAACTCAAGTCATGTACGTTTGGATCTGAAAAGGGAAACGAATATAAGTATTCATCATCTATTTATATTCAAGTCCAGATGAGCAGATAATGAATATTCATACCCACGTCCCTACTCCTCCTCTTAAATCCTTTTCCTGACTCCTCCTCCATATCCTCAATATCCGTAATATCCAAATATCGGGACCACTTTGTTGGGGAATTGGTTCCTTGCCCCACCCCTTTGCAACTCTTTAATGAGAAAAGAAAAGTTAAAAACTATTCTACTTGGGCTACAGACAAAACAAAAGTTTTGTTTTTACCTATATTTTTTTATTGATTAATTAATTCAATATATAATATAAAAGGTGGAACATAAAATTTAGTAGCACACGTGGTATATAGATTGGAGCCACTTCACAATATATTCATATGAAAAATAGATAAGATATATATATATATATATATATAGTATGATTTGGGTTGGGGATTAAAATACCACCCCAAAAACCATACTCAAAGTTTTCCCAAACACGTCCCTACTCCATTGATATCCTTCATACGCGACCATTAAAGGCCCACAAAAACTTAACTTTCGGGGACAATTATCATCCCTACATCACAAAGATGGCTTGGCAGTACAAACATACAATAAAATAACTATGGTTTATAACCGGAAGAAGAAAATGTTAAACTTTTACCTAAAATATATGTAGTCTATAAACATACAATATTTCCTAAACAAGAAACCTACAATATTTTACGCTTGTCTCAGTAGAATAGTGATGTTCCTTGATTAGGCTTGTCTTTCATTGTTTTTGCTTCTATGAAATCTATTGAAAGTCCTTTTAGTCGGCACGATCCTACCCCTTGGCTAAACTGGGCTGTAGCCTAGGTGAGTTTATTTTTTGTAGACTAAAATAATACCACAGCCCAGACCACGTGACATCCCCACCCTAGCCAATTAAAATCTCATTAATAAACCTAAACCACATGTCTGACCAATAAGTTCATAACAATAAAAAATTAAAACTAACCCTGCACACAAATAAAATCTCATTAACAAACCTACAATACACCACGTCTGACTAATAAAAAATACAAACTAAACCCCACACGGGACCAGTTATGCAAAAA